AGTAAAGTTTCCTACATCCCGCTTCGGGCCTATGTCTACCACTGAGGAAAGTGTGGGAAGTTGCCGGAAAATTCGCAGTGTTCGAGTAATGATTTTTCGGGCGCAGTCTGCGCAAATAACTGCCAAAAATATTCTGGGCCAGGCGGTCTTCTGCAGTAGAAGAATTGACAAAAAATTTCAATCATTGACCATCAACAGCGCAGCCACGCCTAAGCAGTCTTTACCGCACGGAGTACTCGGCGCTTTCGACACCACCCCGTCGCCTGCCCGTCTTGGAGGTGGCGACGGGCCTAACCAGTCATTTGATAGTGTTAGCGACCAGTAACTGCCAGCTGTAGGGGCGGTACAATTGACGGATCTTCCACCCAAACGTTACTTGGGAGGGCTCCACTTCAGCTTCTAGGGAGTGCAGAAATGGATTCGCTTCGACAGTTTTGTCGGCCATCTTTAATGTTACCTCGTACATGCACTCTCGTGGGGGAGGATAGCGGCCACCCAAAGTGGAGCCTCTAGCGCAAGGCCACCTATGCCAAGGAGGGTTCTTGTTTCCCCTTTGCATTCTGTGCGCCCATTGTCCGCAGTTCGACAATGCAGTTGGCTCAGGTCTTCGGGGGGCAGCTTTATCGACAATGACAAGAGAGATTAGGGTGGTCATGTCTGGTCTGGTCATCAACCAAGCTCCGGGAGGGATCCTACTTTCGAACCTGGCTCGCTTTGTCGTAGAACATTTGGGTTTGACGCTCTGTTAGACACCATATCAGACAAGTATATAGAGAGGAAATAAGAAAATAGGCTTATAAGTAGCCTACCTTACGATAACAAATGGGTAGAGTAGGAAAAGTGGAAAATAACGAATACAAGGAAATAGCGAGATAATGTACAAATAATCCGTTTGGAGTGGGAGGTGGTCGCGTCAAAGCAGTTAGGCGTCAGCTGGCGATTGCAGCGCTGTCGTCAACTGCGGGTAAGGGCCAGGGAGTGTGCTGACGATAAGGGAAACGAGTAGGTAGGGAAGAGACACCGACCATCCTCACTGGCAGGCGGTCACACCAGACCCATCCGGAATCCGCACCAAAGTGACCTCAGCTGGTTCAAAACAGCCCTGTCGAACTTGTGGTGCGTTACAATGCTCTGTCTATTTGGTTGCCGGGCGGGCCTCTGCTGTCTCTCGTCCCGATTGTTGAGAGTTTGTCGCCATATGAGTGCTTGCGAGGTCTTTGGACCGGGTATTCACGGCAAAGGGAATCCACCACAGCGTCTATGAGGACTACTCAAATGTGTGGACGAATCATCCTAGTAAGCGTGGGAGCCTGACGGTCGACCACGTGTGCATGAAATGTCGTCAGCTGAAGAGTTGGCAAAGTTAAGCGAGAGGAAGAGGAACAGGTAAAAGAAGCGGTCTTGCTGGCACTACGCTGCTCAGAACGATGCCATATCTCAAATGTGATTTAAGAGTTACGGCAAGCATGTTTTTTTCCGCCGACTGACTTGATATCAAACGCTCAGAAGAGCAATTTGCCTGCTAGTGTTAGATATTGGCCCGACGTCTTGGTTGTTTGCAAGAGAAGGCCATGT